CATACAAAAGTGCAAGGCGGGACGAGGGTGCGAGAGATGCGGAGGCAACGCGGCCGGTATGACACGGGGAGCAATAACTTACGATATCGTGAACACTTGGTCATGCATGCAGGCACCGTCTCCGCGTCGCGTCGCGTCGCGTCGCGTCGTCGTCGTCGTGCGGTTTTACACGGAACGAAAGAACCGAACCGTGCACCCTCCTCAACATCTTTTTTGCATACCTACGCAGCTACGCAAAATATACGAACGAAGGGCACGCGGGATCATTCTACAAACTTATGAGAAAAATTCACACAACTTTTTTCGGGCGTGCGCTGCGGGCACGCCAACGGAAATGACACAGTGCCGATAAAGATGGCTGCTCGCGAATTCCATCTGCTACACCGTAGATACTTCGGATTTTTATACGAGCGGATGAAATACGATCGCGGTAATAAATGAAGTCCGGCGCTGCGAAGACGAAATGCACGCTCGAAGCAGTGGGGCCGGGGTCCATTTCGACCCATGCTTACGAATACAGCGGAGGATTTTATGCGTTTACGACGTTGTACAAGTGGAACGGAAGAAGAAACATCAGCATTGTTCAAAGAAGGAATTGATTCCTTGCAATCGAGACGAACAATGTTTGTTTTGCATTCGAATTCGTACCTTTTTGCGATCTATTTAAATGATTAGCCACCTACACTGTCCAATTTAGCCATTACCTCCAATTAGGGGAACACAACGACAAGTAAGATTCTTAAAAGAGACTGAACGAGAAAGTGGTATACTTTCAACTGGTAACTGGAGGCAGTACAGAATAAACGCAATTTGAACGGTCCAAAACCGTATTAGTAAACATTCGTTTGCAATTTTCGTCAAAACAGTGAAATCACGATTTTTCTTGTTACCGGTCTCTCTCATTTGATTATCATGTGAGAGTTAACACGTACAGGGCCCGGTCGGAGCGATATTTTCTCGTATAAAGCCGCTTTAGAATTGTATAATGGCGAGAGATAGTTGCGGCTACCGTTTCTTCCGCGTATTAACATTCAGCACGGCGAACCAAAGTTGAGAACACCGCGTCGGGGAACCGTTCTGTGTGCCTACATTCAGGCATTTCTGTACTATTACGATNACGTCTAGACTTTCATAATATAAAAGTTATCTTGGAACGTGATGTAACAATTTTAATGGCGAGTCACCGTTCGGGTGCGAAGGCTTAAATTACGAAGGCGACACAAGAATGATCGTACCTCGACGCGAACAATATAAAATCTGTATTATAAACCGAGTAAAAACTAAGTTTATCTTTGCCGGCCGCAAGTCCCGAAAATGGTAATGAAGGGGAAACATTCCCGAGGCAAAAAGACCCGCAAAAACCGGTCCCGAACTTTGTTGCAGTGCGTGCACTTTGTTTCGCCGATCCGCGTAAAGTCCGGTCGTAACTAAGGGATTAATTATTTTAATGAACCCTCGCGTACATCGCGGGAACGCGCGCTCAACGTTCGCACACCGTCCGATTGTGCGAGTTATGCGGTATGCAAAATACCACTGGGAACGAAGATTTTGTTCGCGGTCGGAACTGAAAATACGACGCTGTGTAGCAAAGGTCTTCGGACGTTCCCTCGGATGCCGGCCGGCCGGGGAGATGCCCGGATATTATTTGCCCTGGCGCAGCGGCCTCCATCGCAGCCTCGAAAAGTATTTTGCACGGGCGATATTTACGCTGGACAAACATACAAAAGTGCAAGGCGGGACGAGGGTGCGAGAGATGCGGAGGCAACGCGGCCGGTATGACACGGGGAGCAATAACTTACGATATCGTGAACACTTGGTCATGCATGCAGGCACCGTCTCCGCGTCGCGTCGCGTCGCGTCGCGTCGTCGTCGTCGTGCGGTTTTACACGGAACGAAAGAACCGAACCGTGCACCCTCCTCAACATCTTTTTTGCATACCTACGCAGCTACGCAAAATATACGAACGAAGGGCACGCGGGATCATTCTACAAACTTATGAGAAAAATTCACACAACTTTTTTCGGGCGTGCGCTGCGGGCACGCCAACGGAAATGACACAGTGCCGATAAAGATGGCTGCTCGCGAATTCCATCTGCTACACCGTAGATACTTCGGATTTTTATACGAGCGGATGAAATACGATCGCGGTAATAAATGAAGTCCGGCGCTGCGAAGACGAAATGCACGCTCGAAGCAGTGGGGCCGGGGTCCATTTCGACCCATGCTTACGAATACAGCGGAGGATTTTATGCGTTTACGACGTTGTACAAGTGGAACGGAAGAAGAAACATCAGCATTGTTCAAAGAAGGAATTGATTCCTTGCAATCGAGACGAACAATGTTTGTTTTGCATTCGAATTCGTACCTTTTTGCGATCTATTTAAATGATTAGCCACCTACACTGTCCAATTTAGCCATTACCTCCAATTAGGGGAACACAACGACAAGTAAGATTCTTAAAAGAGACTGAACGAGAAAGTGGTATACTTTCAACTGGTAACTGGAGGCAGTACAGAATAAACGCAATTTGAACGGTCCAAAACCGTATTAGTAAACATTCGTTTGCAATTTTCGTCAAAACAGTGAAATCACGATTTTTCTTGTTACCGGTCTCTCTCATTTGATTATCATGTGAGAGTTAACACGTACAGGGCCCGGTCGGAGCGATATTTTCTCGTATAAAGCCGCTTTAGAATTGTATAATGGCGAGAGATAGTTGCGGCTACCGTTTCTTCCGCGTATTAACATTCAGCACGGCGAACCAAAGTTGAGAACACCGCGTCGGGGAACCGTTCTGTGTGCCTACATTCAGGCATTTCTGTACTATTACGATTGCGCGCAGCGAGAAACCTAGAGTAGTTTGTTCCATCGCATCGAAAGAACCAGAATTCTCGCCGCGTACATAAATCACGTGGAAAAGAACGTATGTACATATGTATATGCGAAGACGTGGTGTCAGAATTTTCACTCGGAGCCTAAAAAAAAATTCACATGATCAACAGTGTAGGATGATTGGCCCTGGAACGGCGGGGCCTATTTTGCAACTGTACTATTGATGTTATTTAGGATTATTCTCAGCTTCGTACGTTGATATTTTTATAATACATTCTTGAAGATACTTAGTGTACACTACAATACCTGTTAGCCTCTCTGTTGTTTTCCACGTGCCATTGTTTCATTTAATTGCCAGAAATTGAACAAGTGATGATTTGAATACCCCGAGTCCAAACAGACCCATCCAAATCGTGCATGCAACTTCGTTGAGTCAAACAACGATGCTGAAAATAGTATCGTTCTATCTCTTGCAATTTATTTTCTGTTCCTTCGGAACGTTGAAATGTTGCGTAGGCGAGAATGAACTTTTGTTAATATTTCAGAAACCGCTACGCGTAGGTACCATTTCAAGATAAATACAACTGCCAGAGCTCTGAATATTTCGAACTTTACTTATTACTTTACTCGATAGGAAAACAGGGATGCCTCTTCCGTAGTGTACAGCGCGTGTGCGAGTGAAATTGCATTAAGTCGCGTAGGAAGGTAGCAGTAGCATCATAATACCAAGAATTTGTGAAGCTGATATCCCGCCGGAGTTATTGCCGAAATGTACATAAGGTATTTACCTAAATCCGAAAGGTGTGCTTGGATACGATTTACGTACTCCGCAGGGATTACTTTTTCAAGATAGAAACCAGAAGAAGCTAACCTCAACAACACCGACTACACGCGGTCGAATGCGCGGGTGCCGCGAGTCAGAATGCGCGCATGCGCGTCCCCTGTGGAATGTGCCCCCACCCTGCGGGCAACCTCTTCCCGTCCCGCGACCAGCGATGGACTCGAGACGCGTCGAAATACTTCGAATATTATTCGAAATTGAGAGTCCTTGGAGAATTCTACAAATTTCATGGTACAATCTTAAACCCGAAATATTTCGACGCTCATGAATATTCCGAGCAATCTCGGCGATGATCTCACACGTAATGCGAATAACGAACGAATTAAAAAGCGATCGCTACTTATGTTCTAAATAAGGAATTTGATTTGAATTTCCGTAGTCCAAGCCTCTGTTACACGCTTATCGTTCTTGCTTTATAACTATCGATTCAACGGTAAAAACGGTTTATTGTACGGTAAAAACAACTTATTTGTTCTGCAACAAATTCTAAATTCATTTTTCTAGGTTCTCGTTGCGATTCGAACGTTACTTGAGAAGCTAAGCATTCTTTTACGATCAAATTGCGAAAAAAAAAACGCGACAGAGAGAATTGAATAGCCATCGCTCCACGCGATTTGCCCTTCCCTCGCGTTGCCCTCACCCCGCCGGCGACCCTGCAGCCCCTCTTCGTCGCACTAAAAGCATACGGCTCATTCCACTCGACGACGTGCTGTCGTACGGTGGCAGTCGAAATGTGCATGCACGGACGCATACGTATTAGAAGGCGTACGTCTGCTACGGAGAATTCCTTACACGCGAATATCGCGCACGCATGCGACTGATCTTCGTAGGAATAGAAGCCCATTTACAACATTGTTACTTTGATTTTTACGGATTCATCTGAGCGCGATTAGTCAGCGAAAGAGGGTATTAACACTTTCTGCCGAATAGTGTAACAGAAGAAAAACGATCCTACCAAGTTCACAGCAATTCCAGAGCATATTTGTTTAAATACAGTTTTAGGACACGAATAAAAATTCACACAGTCTTTACAGACGTGAAAATCTGAAGAACACATACACGATACATTGACACGGTTTTATATTTTAAAATTCGAAGAATATAAACTGGACGAATAATTAGAAAGCGATGTGCCAGACGTCTATGATAGCCCAAAATGTGATTGCCCGCGCTTTTCAAGTATGGCGTCTCTCGGAGGAATGTCAAACGACTTGATATTTGAACAGTATAACCGCGAAATCACAGAGTGTACGATTTTATTACCATAAAAAATGCAGGCGAGTTATCATTCACATTTATGTCGGAGATGTAATATGAAGATGCTTACCACTTCTTTACGTTCACGGTGATTTATATCGACGAAAAGAACATTCCGACGACGCACGTAATCCGGTTAATCCAACGAACACAAAGAGGGGTGCTTTAGGCGCGCAACAAGTGGTCGTAACGAATAAACACTTTTGCGTAAGAATACTATAAAATACACAGCACAACACACAGATCGCACGTTTGCCGTTAATTTACACGAGACTCCCGTAATCTCACGTGATCTTTAACGAATCCCTCTCCCTTCTTCTCTCTTTGCTACTTCTTTTACTGGTCACACGTCGCTTGAACCGCGAGAAAGCCGTTTTAACGGCATCGCGAACGACATCCTTGCGAAAAGAAAATTCGTCAGCTGCGTTGGTGAAGCGTTAAATGCGCGAGGACGCATTAAATATTTAGGACACAGTTCTGCGGAACGAAGATGTACGGATACGCAGAAACCACCATCACAACGTACTACACCGGCGGCCGGCGAGTGACTGACTAGTGGTAGTGGCACACGCCGGCTCCCCATAGTCGACGAGCTAACCTAACAGTGGAATCCACTTGCACCCCACGAAGTTATACGCGAACTGCATCAACTATTGAAGCGCGCCGATAGAATAATTGTATAGGGACGATTCGTATCGATTCTATCGCAAAATTTCTACTCACATTTCATCGTACAAATTAAACGATCAACGTACAATTAATTTTCATACGTATGTACGTGCAACAGCAGACATTATTTGATCGTATGTTGTTTCTCAGTTTATTTGAATCAACAATTACGACCTCTTGAGATGTTCGATTGCTACGTCATCTATTTGATATTATATAACGTTACGTTCATTGATATTAAAGGATACATAATCTATCATAATGTAATATCATAAATAAATCGATAATATGTATTTGAATATTTGTTTATAAAAGTGAAACTGATAGAATAATTAATGTTAAGAGACTATCATTTACTTTAAAGTAAATTACTTTAATGACCAATTTGGTCATTATTCAATTCGTGGTATTAATAATATTGCTTATATTATACTCAGCACGTATAAAATAATTGACAGTTAATGTGAGCCAAATGCAAAATACCGTAGTGTACTTAATGGTAGAATTTATTAAATGGCGTTTCGGTTGTACGATCAAATTAAATGCTTATTGTATAACGTTAACAAAGTTACTTCGTCTTCAATTTTTCAACTTCTTCGAAACGATTGACTTAACCTTCTAATATTTACGAAAAATGTCCTAAGGAAAGTTCAAAACACCCGCTACACATTGTTTCATCGGATAGGTGGTGCCATCCTACAGCGAAGGCCCCAAGCAAACAGATTTCACAGGTTTAGAAAGGCAACGTACATATGTGAGCGGACATAGTGGGCGCCATAGTCAGCGGAACTATCTGCAAAGAAGATCAGTGTGACGTAAACGACGATCTAAACAAGTATCAGCTGTGTAGCAGTCATTGTTCGTATCCGTTTTGGCAGACATACAAGAATTCTGTTTTTCTTCGTTTTCTGATCGTCGGGCAATAAAGTCCGACAGAATAAACGATACACGCGTAAATCGAGAAAACAAGTGGAAAAAAAGGGGGGAGGCTACGAGTTTTCCGTAGAACGCAACCGTGGCTGCGTGCGTGCTCCAGCCCCAGCCCCACCAACGATCTTAGGGACAATAATCGTGTGAAAAACGGGGCGGTACGCGCATAAGCCTGGCCTCGAGCGGCGAGTCGGACGACGGTGGACTCGCTCCGCCACCGCGCAAAAGGTCCCGTAGTTCTCTCCCGACTACCCTACGACCAGCGGACGAGCACCACACCGATCCCGAGATGGAAAATTATCGGTAACGCAATCAGGCCCCTAGACGTCGTGACCGTGTAGTCAACACACGAAGGGGCCTACCCCCTTCATAATGACGCCTTCGCGTGTATCTCATTTCTTCCAGAATCTCGAGGCATACCGACGCCGAATGCGTTTCATACATGCTGTTTCGAATGCTGTTTTCTTACTTTTCTTATCGAATTAGTCGAATCTCATTCAGTAGTTAGAGACCCTTCGTGTAAAAACAGAAAGTGCTTTAACATTTTCTCCAGAAACCCAAAGAATTGCATCTTGCGTCGAGTTTGAAAACATAACACGTTACGCCAGCACCATGTATGCTTTCGCATCGTGGACCAGTCATTGCTATGAGGAATAACGCTTCCATGTGTATATAACAGCGTAATGCAACAGCAGACCTCAAATGGTGGCATTTCCTCTGGACTTCAGCAGAATGGAGGCACAGCTGACTCTGGTGGACCTCACGCGAATGGCAATATGATACCAGAATCAGACAGTGACATCAACGGTGTAAATGGAGAAACAAATCAGAACTTAGGACCCCCAAAAATAATGGACAAAACTAATCAAGACATTGTGAGACTCATTGGACAGCATTTGAAGACAGTTGGACTTGAGTATGTAGTCAATATTATTTGACTCTTATGTGACTATGATTTGTGGAAAAATTCAGATTTTCATGGAAGAACATTAGTATCCTGTACATGCTTTGGAAACTGTTTTATATTTAACACGACAATTGTGGTTTGCTAATAATTCTTTTATTCTTCTTAATGATTTTAAATGTTTCTTTGTTTCTTCAGTGTTCTTTGTATGCATGCATTTATAAGAACTATTGTATTGCAACCTATCTGGACTGCATACTGTGTGGTGGGAGAAAGCTAATTATAGAACCTTGAAATATAGTCACTAGTATCTGCAAGTTATACTTGCTTTATAATGATGTACGCAATATAAAAAAGCAATATATGCAAGCATATAATTATAAATTGTATTAGCAACAGAGTATAATAGTATAATATTATTTTCAATTTAGTATTCAAAACATGTAAAGATTGTTTACTTGTTTCTTAGTAGATTTGTTGGTTACCTGGTCGAATAGATGTATGCTTTAAACAAAAATGAAGTATCTAATATATTTTCAAAGCTATACAAGTTCACTAATTAATTAAAATTAATAAAATAAAATGTGTCAATTTCAGTCGAACAGCAGATTTACTTATGCAAGAGTCAGGTTGCAGACTAGATCATCCTGCAGCCGCAAAGTTTAGACATCATGTTATGGATGGTGATTGGACTAAGGCAGAACATGATCTTAATGAACTTAAATCATTTTTAAATGACACAAGTCAGAGTTTAGTGGTAAAAATCATTATCATTAAAACTGTCTAGTTCTATTAATCCTTTGCAATCGAAGAAATCTGGAGCTAAGCACTCTGTGGAGATGAGTTGTATTTGTAATAATAATTGCAATTGGAAAAAACAATGTTAAAGTCACTGATAAAGTTTGCTAATTGCCATGAAATAATAAAAAAGATACAAAAGAATGTGCAAAGGATTAAGTATGTTTAGTATCATTATATCTCATTAATATCGATTAATTACAGGAAATGAAGTTCTTATTATTAGAACAAAAATACTTAGAATACTTGGAAGATGAATTGGTAGTAGAAGCAATACAAGTTTTACGCAACGAACTTACACCCCTAGGTCATAATACAAGTCGTGTCCACCAATTGTCTGCATTTTTAATGTGTAGTGGACGCGATGAGTTACAGGTACTATAAAGCATAATTATTGAAAATATAATATTGCAGGAACATTCGCAGTATAACATGTACTGCATATTTTGTTACAATAGAGATTGGCTACTAATAAACTCTCAAAAAATTGATATGCATAAAAATTTCTGAAACTAACCTGCTACTGAAAATTTGATCACTAGCAAATAGACACTTGTTAACAGACACGAGCAGGCTGGGATGGCAAAGGTGCAACATCAAGGGCGGCCTTAATGGATAGACTACAGAAATTCCTGCCACCTTCCATTATGTTACCACCACGCCGTCTTCACTATCTACTGTGCCAAGCTGTAGAGATGCAAAATCAGCAATGCACATACCATGTAACCCAAACTCAGGTATTGTTTATTCAATTAATTTTACTCAACTTTAGTACCATGATTCTATTTTAAACTTCCACTACAACATAAGCATATATAAAATAAAATCATCTAGTCAATTCTAAATTGCAATGTATTTGGTAAAAAGTATCACTCAATTCTCTTGCATTAAATATTGTATCGTTCTTTATTAACACAAATATAATTAATTTTTGTCTCGCCAATTAGACGACTTTAGAAAATGTGTCGCTGCTCGTGGATCATAGTTGCAACAAAGAACAGTTCCCGTGCCATACTATACAAGTGCTCAATAATCACAGTGATGAAGTGTGGTATTGTAAATTCTCTCCAGATGGTCTCAAGCTAGCTACAGGTTCCAAGGATATGACTGTAATTATTTGGGATGTTGATCCTGTAAGTAAATTGTTGCATATAATGAAATAATAATTTGCAAGTAATCCATTAATAAATTTCTAATGAAAATAGGAAACATTAAAAGTAACTCATAGAAAAACATTAGAAGGTCACACCTATGGAGTGGCATTAATTGCTTGGAGTCCTGATAGCAGTCTTCTTATTGCCTGTGGACCTGAAGATTGTCCAGAACTTTGGCTTTGGAGTATTGATCCACCTCATTACGAATTACGTGCAACAGTTACCCAAAGTACTGACGATTCACTTACGGCTTGCGCCTGGTATCCTGATTCACGTAAATTTGTGGCGGGAGGACTTCGTGGACAATTCTATCAATTTGTAACATATCAATCAAGTTTATTTCATAATGAATATCGATTGTAATGTGAACGAATCTTCAAACTTTAATTTATAATGATATTTTAGGACTTGGAAGGAAACGTGTCAGAATCGTGGGAAGGTGTCAGAGTGAAATGCTTGTGGTGCAAAAATGATGGAAAAACTGTCCTAGCTGCTGATTCACATCATCGAATTAGAGGATATAATTTTGACGACTTATGTGACTTTACAATGTAAGATTGCAAATATTATTTATTTCATGCTGATTTATGTGCTGTAACGGCATCCACGAAAGCGTGAATATAATATTATAGATTACAAGAAGACCATCCTGTGATGTCATTTAGTGTAAATAAAACAGATCGACTTGCACTTTTGAATGTAGCTAATCAGAGTGTAGATCTGTGGGATCTACAAGATAGATGCCTAGTAAGACGTTTTCAAGGTGTTACACAAGGACATTTTACAATTCATAGTTGTTTCGGTGGTGTAAATCAAGATTTCATTGCTTCCGGTAGTGAAGGTATGTTAAATTACTGCAAATTCAATATGACCTTCTATATATTTGTTTTAATTATGAAATACGATCTATACTTTACTTTTATTCAAAGATACTAAAGTGTATGTGTGGCATATCAAGAGAGAACTACCAATAGCAACGTTAACAGGGCACAGTAGGACAGTAAATTGTGTTTCATGGAATCCAGTATATCATCATATGCTGGCTTCTGTATCAGACGATTGTACTGTAAGAATATGGGGTCCCCGATCTTCATCTCCAGAGAAAACTGAA